GGTACATTCTGTCTGCCAGATGACTCTCTACCACAAGAGATGGAATGTAAGCGCCCAGAATCGTCTTAAACGTAGCCTGTTTATTCTGTAAATTAAAATAGAAGAGATGAATAGAATAATTCTAGCAGTATAAAGAAAAGACTATGACGACCCGTAATTCTCTTAGGGAGCGTTCGCACACCTTTGACTATACTATCACACAACTGTTTAGTCGCGCTTTGATTCCTAGGAGCTTATATGGAGGAATGAATACTTAATTTTTAGTTGTGCAACTAAACGGTAGTGCGATAGTTTTGTCAAATGTGTACGCAAGCTCTTAGTTAGAGCTTCATTGATTACTAGTATCATACCCAGATGTATGAATGTTGCATAACATAAGTTAAGAGCATTGTAATAGTATCAACTTCCAAGCTTAATAATAACTTTCATTGTCTTGTTTGAAATGGCGGATAAACCTATCTGGAAGATAAAAATCTAACATGCCACTCTTTGTGGACCAACCCCACTGTAGTATCAGAGTAATAAACTTACTTGAACCACTGGCATGTTGGTATGGTGACCGAGAACTTCTTCCGGGAACAATGTAACCAGAGAAGCAGCTATAACCGAACCCCAATCACCACCTTGTAAGTAGAACTTCTTGAAGCCAAGCCTCTGCATGAGATTTCTGAAGATCACGGACACTTGCGGCGGCGCTAAACCAGGACGTACTGCACCCTGGAAAATACAAGGAAAAGTTAGTAATAAACTTATAGGTCTCTGTAAACAAGCCTTTAGTAAATATTAGATTTCGCCCGCGACTCCGTCCACGTGGAATTTAAAAAAAAAACTGAGTAGCCTATGTATTCTTCCAGGGTATCTTCAACACCTATACCAAATTTCATTGAAATCCGATCATCCGTTTAGGCTACAAACTTTAACAAACATCCATCCATCTAAACTTGCATATTAATAATATTAGTAAGATAAGATAGTAAGACATAGGTTACAATGATGCTTTAGGTTATGGGGACATTCTAAAGAATACGCAATTCAATAAATTTATCCTGGAAACTTGTAACTGATAGAAATACATGCTAATTTTCGGATTATATTGTACCTTCTCTGGCTGTAAAACAAAATGTCGATGAAAGTTAGTTTTTAATTTGAAATGAATATAAAAGAGTAAACGCTCAAAGAATAATATGGTTCAAAATTAGCTGATAAGACCAATGTATTGAAAAGTGTCATTTAGTGATATTACATTTATCAACAATTCGTTTTAAAATAATAACGTTTGTGTATTAGAATTTTTACCTGTGAAAATCCAAAACCAGGAAGACTAGGAGCTATAACTTCAAACGCAAAGTTGTAACCTGGTTGTTGTTTAGTCAGCAAAGGTATAGCTTCATAGAACTCCCTCACGGATCCCGGCCAGCCGTGCAATATTAATAGTGGGACTATTTCAACTCCTGCTGGGACCTGAAGGTAAACGTTAAACGAAAAATAATATATTGGCGCTAGTTTCGTTTCTGCTAATATAGACAGCTTTTATTTTCATTTAATTGTTACTTATCTGTCTAATAGAAGGTAACATAGCAAAGAATGATATATTACCTGTGGTTTGACCCTAATAAAGTGTATATCCAGACCCTGGATATTAGTCTTGTACTGCGGGAATTTGTTTAAGAATGCTTCCCGTTCTTTGAATGGATATTCCTCAGCCCAATATTTAATCCAGGGTTCTATTGCTTTAGAATTGAATCCATATTCGAAGGCTATACCTTCTAGAGGTGGGGTAAGCGGTCGATGATTCTTTAGTCGGTTTCTAAGGTCTTTTATCATCTGAAAATAGATTTTATTTTAATAATATTCATTTGCATTCTTTTTGGTTGAGTGCGCCATCTTTCGGTTAAACACTTTTTAATTTATAGTTCTATTCGAAAGATGGCGTTGTATTATTTTTTTGAAAACAATACGTTTCATCGAAGCGTTTTTTAATTTATTCTTATAATGCATACGTACCTCATCAGTAAACTGTACTTTAAAAGGTTTTATACTGTTGTCCTCTTTGCCTCTGAGTTCGTTTGGCCCCCACCATTCATTTTGATCTATTTCTAGACGTTTAGGAGATTCACTAGAGAAGGCCGACCATGCTATGTAGACTACCACTAGGGCACCAAATCCGAGCAGGATTTTTGACATCTGTAAACACATTATTATTATTATCATCTGCGAACTTTTGTTTACTAAAATTATAAGCAGGAATTATTTGTATTTTTGTAATTTTGTATGTATTAAAATAACTCAAAACCTACTTGGTCGATTTCTTTTTTTTTTCATCATTAAAAAGCTACGTCATCGTTGAATAACATAGGCCATATTTTTAAATTTCACGTGAATGTCGCGAGTTACAGCAATATATTATACAAGCTGTTGCTTGTGACTTCATTATCGTGATATTAATTAATAGTAGTTATAGGTTATTTTACTCAGTAATAATGTTGCTTTTAAATGGTGAAAGATCTTTTTAAATCAGGCCAGTATTTTTGAGTTAATTCTATATATAAAAATAAAAATCTTTCCTCTTTATAATATTAGTACAGATAGTATGACGTATACATTGCACAAGACAGATAAGATATAGTAACAGTGCTTTCTTCTGCTTTACGAAGTAAGTTTTCGTGTTTTTTTATTTGTTTTAATATAACAGAACGATCAAATATTGAAAGGTCACTGAGGTTGACGTCCATCGGCATACGCAATACCGTAGTAACTGCAAATGTGTTGCCGGCCTTTGAGAAGGTAATATGCTTGCTTCTTGATTTAGTTACCTTCGCGATTGTTGTCACGAAGTTTAAATCACATAGACTGTCTTTACAGTTTTCACAAAAACGAACTCTGCACACTTAAAATTTAGTGTTTTTTGCTACACTATTTGTCACAAACTGCATAAATTATTGAAATGTAACGATATTTAAACATTTGGGAAATATGCCAGTCATTGTGATAGAATCAATTCCTGAGCCCATGGTGATAAGATAAATAGTAATATTTAAAAAAAACAATAGAATCACCATTTATTAAAAAGCCAAAAACGGACAAACGTAAACAGGAAAGCCATAAACCTTTTTAATTATACTTAGAATTATGGATTTAGTTGTTTGATTTTTACTTCCGTATGAATAGTTTAAATTATTTTTTTAACAATAAACTACTTACTAAAAAAACAAAGAGTGAAGAAACTGTATATTTTTACTTGTATATTTCGGACATTTAGCAGTTATGATTTATGTGGTACATGTTTTTTTTATGTGTCCCATTTTTTGTTGTCAAAATCATGGTGACCCTACTTTAACTGTATAATTGTTAAACATGATGTTATTGCATAAAAATTAAAATGTCACGTGTCCCAATTAATTGTGGTCGTCTTTTTGTGACTGACTTGTGCGTTCTTTGCTAAAATATAAAGTGTTTTTGAAATGATACGGTAAAGTTGATTATTTGAAATTTATGAATAATTTCCGTTTTTTATTAATAATTACCATGTGATTTGGTAAATGTGAATAGAGCGGTAATTTTTTCACTTTTTCCGTTTTTTTTTTAATAATTCCCTACTCGTGTCAGTAAGAAAACACCTTTTTTAACTATGATGTTTTTACTGCGAGAAGGAAGTTACGGGAAAAAGCTACTAGACTAAAACAATGAAATTATCGCTTGATATCGAATTCCTTGACTATCTAAAGCTTACTTACATATCCAATTATTAATAACAAGTTCTTGCTTGCGACTTCGCCCGTATAAAATTAAATAAATAATAAAAGCATACTCTACGTTAATCAATAATAGATTTTTAACTGTGAAAGAATTTTTAAAATGGGCCCAGTAGTTTTTGAATTATTTCAATACATACAAAAATACTAATCTTTCCTCTTTATAATATTAGTATAAATATAGACGACCGGTATGAATGCGAATCTGATATAAAAAACTAAAGAAATTTACGTTACATTTGTTAAATTGAGTCTTTACTTTTAATTAGAGTATTTACTCCATAACTTCCATCATAATAAAATGTTTTAGATTCCCAAACTATCCTTATCTTTGAAAACTTTATGGTTACCCTATGCGACAGATGTTGCATAATAATAATAAAATTCTGTTTGCACTGAGCATGACTCAGCAATTTAATAACAAGTTCAAGGTTTATCAAACATATATTTTGGATAAGATATTATTTCGTTATCTATACTTATATTATAAAGAGGAATAATGTGTAGTTTTGGATTTTTGTATGTATTGAAATAATTCAAAAACTACTGGACTGATTTTAAAAACTCTTTCACTATTAAAAAGCTACGTTATCAGTGAGTTTGCTCTGTCATAGGCTACGTTTTAAATATTTGTTAATTTTACGCCAACGAAGTCGTAAACAACCTATTAAGCTATAAAAATAGCAGATAATATAAAACTACTAACTTTTGCCCGTGACTTTGCTGAGCGGAAAAAAAAAATTTAGGCCATGTGTTCTTTCGGACTTGTTTCTACATCTGTGTCGATTAGCGTAATAATCTAGTAACAAACATCCATCTAAACTTTCGCTTTATAATCTTAGTGAGATATGAAGAATTATTTCTACAAGTAAACAAATGTCAATTCAAGGCATTTAAATAAACGAGGCAAGTTTATTTTAATGTTTTGTTTATTAATTACAAATAAATTAAATTTTACAATTAAGGTATTTCTATACATTTCATAACTCTGTTTTTGCATTCTTTTTATGCCACTTTCTGAACTCGTTCACGGCTTTAAATACGTCATTAGCGAAGACTTGGGGCAATTCCAAGGCGAAGAAGTGACCACCATCGTCCGTAAGAGTAACGCCTAGGAGATTGGGGAACTTGGTCTTAAGGATTCCAGGCGGTTGGTACATCGTCTCATGCTTAGCTTGTAGTGCCCAAGTCGGTACTGGAGTTGGGAATCTGTAGATGAGAATATTTATTTTATGGATATATTTGAAATGAAAATTAAAGAAGCAAAGGTACATAGAATATCGGTACATATAATAACTGCAATGCAAAATAACCTAATCAGATATCAGTAAACATAGACTAAGGTACCAATGGATGAGAAAACGCCATCTATTGGCTGCTTTATAAACAAAAAAATCTAATTTTTATTTTTACGTCCTTAACATCGTTAACTTACTCTCCGAGTTCAAGTTGTTGGTTCTTCCTGCTGGCCTCCTCAGCGTACAATCTCATAGAGGTAGTGATAGAATTCGAGGTCCAATATATCATCAGGTTATCGATCAGCTTCGCTTTGGAGTAGCGTAACTCGAGGCCACCGTCAGCCTTAAAACGGTAATCACGACAGGTCCAGACGGAGAACTTTTCCAAGATGTAAGCCAGAAGACCGGATGGGGAATCAGACAATGCCACACCTGGAACCAGAAATATCTTTGATTGATTAATCACCAATAGTCCAATAATTCAAGGGTTCGTATCCCAGCATTCGACTATTGTCGTGAACTAAATCCTAGCACAAGTCTAGAGCTTAGTTGGAATGAAATAAAAAATATTAGTAAACTATGAAAATAAAAAATATTTTCTATAAAAAACCCTGATAACATTATGTACTATATCCTATAATGATAAGCAATACAATGGCATCTTCTGGTACATATAAAAAAATTGAAAAACGCTACAATCTTACTGGTAAAAATTACTCTTTCTTTCGTAACAATGCACTTAAGAGATTCATCGATACATTGATAGTTTTATGATATCTCTGTTAGTAAGCTTCTACTTTGACTCTATCATGTTAACTTACCAACTGAATCCGGTCTCGTAGCCTGCAAATGGTAATATCCAAATTCTTCCAACAAGAACGCGAAAAAATCTGACAAAGGATACATTCTGTGTGCCAAGTGACTCTCTACCACCAGAGACGGAATGTACGCGCCCAGTATTGTTTTAAATGCGACCTTCTTATTCTGTAAATTTTAAAAGAAGAAAAGAAGGAACAATGTAAAAAAGAAGAATGTAGAAAAAAGAGAAGAGTACAATGCTACCATTATAACAGTATTTATATGAAAATTCTTAATTAGTGCTTCATTAGTAACTAGTAATATATCTAGAATGAATGTTGAGTAATATTGTGCAACGCAAGTTAGAACTAACCACTATAAAAGACCCCTAAACTAAAGTATAGTTTCTATTATCATGATGATTAAAATGGAAAGATAGATATTTTTTTTTTATAACATAAGGTGGCAAACGAGCAAGCGGCCACCTGAAACCGCCAAAATGGCGAAGCGACCGCTGCCCATAGATATCCGCAATTGCAGATGCGTTGCCTACTCTTATCCGATGGTGGAGACGCACATAAAGAGGATATTTCCCCTTCCTATGCATCTCCTCTACCGTCTAATCCACTTTCCGTTCCCCTCCTCTCCTTATAAGAAAAAGGGTGGTAAAAGGAAAAGGACTTAAATTAGGCCTCCGGCACCACACTCATCAGACGAAACACTGAATTGCTTCCATTTCACGCCTGTCTTCTATGTGGTCGTGGTATTACACCGGGCGTGCCGGCCCTGCAGTGCTAAGATGCTAAAGCGGGCACTACCACTGTTACAATCATACAGATAGATCTGGAGACAAAAATCTAACAAGCTTATCCTGTAATTATCATAGACAGGAGATGAACTTACTTGAGCTACAGGCATGTTGGTATGGTGACCGAGTACATCTTCTGGGAACAATGTAACTAAAGCAGAAGCTACAACCGAACCCCAATCACCACCTTGTAAGTAGAACTTCTTGAATCCAAGCCTGTGCATCAGATTTCTGAAGATCACAGATACTTGAGGTGGCGCCAATCCAGGACGGACTGCACCCTGGGAAGTAAAAAGTAAAGTTGGTACCTGTCTTACAATTCTCTGTCAAGATCTTTAGTTACTTGGATTATAATTAGACGTGCTTTAGGTCAAGAAGGCAATCCAAGAGATATGTAGCTTTTAATTTATCTTGGATATCCAAGAGCGGGCGCACACCTTTGATTAAACTTTCGCGGAATTGTTGTGCGATTGTCGATTGTTTCGCAGCCAATTCAACTGTTTTGCACAACTAAAAATCGAGTAGTGTTCGCACATATAAGCTCATAGAAATCAAAGCGAGACTAAACAGTTATGCGATAGTTTAGTCAAAATGCAAGCGCTCTAAAAATAGGAAGGCATAACCTATTCGGATTTAATAATCATCATCACCAGCTCACTATACGTCCCCACCGAGGGGCTCGGAGCCTACCCTAATAAGGGGTGACTAGGCCATAGTCAACCACGCTGGCCAAGTGCGGGTTGGTTGACTTCACACATATCTTTGAATTTCTTCGCCGATATATGCAGGTTGCATCACGATGTTTTCCTTCACCGTGTGAACGTCGGGTAAATTATGTACATATGAAAAATCGAAAAATCGAAAATCACATTGGTACATGGCGGGATTCGAATCCAAGACCTGTAGATTACAAGTCAAGTGTTCAAACCACTGAGCCACCGACGCTCCTGATTTAATAATACCATTACTAATTGTAAAAGATAGTTTGCAGTTTAAAATGATTATGAAAGAGGAAATGACCAAAGATAATTTTTGTCCAAGATTTAAAAGATAAGACCAGCGTATCACAAAGTATTATTTGGTGATATATTTATCAACAATCCTTATAATGATAACATTAAAATATAAAATTAATTTTTAATGTGAATTCTTACCTGTGAAAATCCAAAGCCAGGTTGACTTGGAGCTATAACTTCGAAGGCAAAGTTGTAGCCTGGTTGTTGTTTAGTCAGCAAAGGTATAGCTTCATAGAACTCCCTCACGGATCCCGGCCAGCCGTGTAATATCAATAGTGGGACAATTTCAACTCCTGCTGGGACCTGAACATAATAGTTATACCAATTTTATTATTGTAGTTAATTCGAGTTTGTGAAATATGGATTTTAATAGTCTTCATAAATTAATTATAGAATTTAGATTTGTCAAGATTTTAAATCTATACTAATGTTATACAGAGGAAAAATCCGTATTTTTGTATGTATTGAAATAACTCAAAAAATACTTGGCCGATTTAGTTTTTTTTTTCAACGTTAGAAAGGTACTTTATCCGTGGCATCGTAACATAGGCTTTTTTTTTGACCGACTTCCCAAAAAAACAACACAAAATACACTAAAAACAAAATAGTCTTAAAAAAACAGGACACTAAAAAGTAACGAAATAATTCCTTGAAAATAGTAAACCTACCTTATTGTAACTGTTATGTCTATATTGTACAATTATTATTACTTTGATGTCGGTGTCAGCCGAGGTATGCAGTGATATTTCTACGTAAGGGTTTCCACATTTTTACCATAACAATTGACAATTGAAAGTATAGTAACAATTAAGTAATGAATCTACATTGACCGACACCGACTTCAAAGTAATAATAATTGTACAATACAGACACATAACAGCTACAATAAGGGAGGTTTAATATTTTGAAGGAATTGTTTCGTTACTTTTGAGTGTACTGTTATTTTTTTGAGAATATCTCGTTTTTAGTATATTTTGTTTGGAAGTCGGTTTTGTTTTTTTTTTAATTTCATGCGGTCGAAGTCTTAAGCTACAGCTAGTAAATTAGATGTATTATCAAGATTTTCTCCTTGCTGTTTTTCGCTAGTGGTTCGCTACTTCATATTATAAACAGGACATATCTGGTTCTTTGTGTTGAATATGCTCCGAGGCTATAGAACCGATTTAATTAATTCTTACTCCATTACAAAGCTACATTATCACTGAGTAACATAGGCTATATTACATCAACGGGAAGGGGGTATATGACAGAAAAAAGAAGATGGATGAAAGAATAGTATATATTACTTACTTGTGGTTTAACCCTAATAAAATGGATGTCTAATCCTTGAATGTTCGTCTTATATTGAGGGAACTGATTCAAAAACTGTTCCCGTTCTTTGAACGGGTACTCCTCCGCCCAGTATTTCAACCAGGGTTCTATCACTTGTGAGTTGAACCCATATTCGAATGCTACACCTTCTAGAGGCGGGACGAGTGGTCGATGATTCTTCAATCTACCTCTAAGGTCTGTTATCATCTGTATAAAAATAGCTAGAAATTTTAAATATTTTTATGAGTGTAGAGGTACACTGGTAAATCTAGAAAGAGAGGGATGGATTGCGTGAAAGGTATACGATGAAGGGAGTGATGACTGAGATGACGGATGATAGAGTTATTTGGAGAACAAAAAACCGATGCGCTGACCCTATGGGAGTAGGATAAGGGAAGATGATGAAATGCACTAGTACATACCGACGTAATCTAAAAAAACCGTTGCTAGTGTCAGAAAATACGTTAAACCGTGTCAAATAAAATGACATACAATAAAAGTGACATAAAGTATGGGTATGTTATGAGGGATAAATCATATGTAACAAGAAGAACTTTAATAAGTGTGGACACCGTAGTTAGAGATAGAAAGAGATGGGTGGATTGCGTGAAATGGTGTAACTAAAATGACGGAATGTAGATTAACTTGGAGGACGAAACCCTGTTGCCTGCCGGAGTAGGATAAGAAGGAATGAGTGCGACGAGGATTACCCGTCACTTATTTGTAATTGAAGGAGAATTTAATTATTGTACAAATATATTATTACAGGTGACTAAGTTATTGTACAAATTAATTCTAATAGACTTATCAGATTAGACAAATCTTAGTTGTTAGTTACATAATCTTTTTCGGAAGTCGCTATACTTATAACGGGCGCACATCTTTGAATAAACTATCGCACGACTGCTTAGTCTCGCTTTGATTCCTATGAGTTTATATGGAAGTGCGCCACACTCGATTTTTAGTTATACAACTAAACAATTGAACTGCTAAACAATCGATAATCGTTGTGCAACGGTTTAGTCCAAGATGTGCGTCCGCTCTTAGCTGCAAATACAATGGAAAATTACTCGTAGTTTTTTATTAGATAAATTAGTAACTTACGTCATCAGTGAACTTGATTTCGAATGGTTTAATACTGGTGTCATGTTTCTCTTTCAGTTCATTAGGACCCCACCATTGTTCAGTGTCCAATTTAGGCAGTTTTCGAGATTCACTACTGAACCACGACCATCCTATGTACACAATCAATAAGGCTACTAGCCCTAGGATAATCTGCGACAGCTGAAAATATATTCACCCTCTTTATACAGTTTATATATTTTTTTATAATGTAAGGTGGCAAACGAGCAAGCGGCCTCCTAAATCCATCGAAATAGAAAGCGATCGCTGCCCGTAAACATCCACAATTGCAGATGTGTTGCCTACACTTAATTCACGAAGGAGGAGACGCACATAAAGGACATTTCCCCTTCCTATGCGTCTCCTCCACCGTCAAATGCACTTTTCCTTCTCATCCTTTCCTCTTAAGAAAAGGGTGGAAAGGGAAAGGGACTAAAATTAGGCCTCCGGGACCACACTCATCAGACGAAACGCGGAATTGCTTCCATTTCACGCCTGTTTTCTGTGTGGTCGTGGTATTACACCGGGCGAGACAACCCTGTAGTGCGAAGATGTTAAAGCGGGCCACTGATTATTTTACTTATAACCATTCCAGAAGCTTGAAGCTACGCCAACATGTTTTAAGAAGAGCACACACTTTTGAATAAACTATCTCATAAAGGTTTAGCTTTGATTCCCATAAACTTATTAAGAGGTAACACAACTAAACAGTTGAGCTGCGAAACAATCGACAATCGCAGAACAGTTGTGCGATAGTCTGGTCAAAGGTGTGTGTCCGCTTAGATCGGTGGTCAGTAAATCCTTTATGCTAGAGCTTCATACTTGCCAGAATTTTTCTATACGATACTAAGTACGTTTTAAAATATTTAAAAGTAAAATATGCAATATTTGAGTTTACAATTTGACATAAGATAAGCAGATTAAAAGATATTCACCTCAATCATTTCAGTTTTACGGACTAATTCAGAGTGAACATTAAACACATTTTGGCTTCTTTAAATATAAAACAAAAATAATCAATACACAATGAGTCGACTTATTTCCTAAGACTATCCGTCATTGTTAATAAAACAAACTAGGGTTACCATACGTTTGAAATTACTGGGTTATTAAAAGTCTGTATAGATCCAAGACCAAATATCAAAAAACTGTTAATTTTTAATACGACGGAGTATTTTGTAGCAACAAAATATGTTACAATAAACAAATCACACGATTTTTTTCTCTAAATTGCATTAATATTAAGCACTTTCTTTAATTTCCACTGTTTAAGCTTTCGCGAGGTAATAAAAGTGGCCTGTTATTCTGATTACATAGTACAAAACAAGGTTTGTCATGTCATTTTGACAATTGCTATTGGTAATTTGACAAATGTAGACAATTAAATAAAATTTCTACAATTTCATGCGGATGAAGCCGCACGGGAACAGCTAGTAGTACAATAAAATCAATTAAATTAAAAAACCACAGATATTTCTAAAATTTAAAAGAATTAAACAAAGACAATATTACATTAAAATACATTACAGTAATTGCAATGATCATTTGCATACTAAACTTTACGTAGGACCGATTATTTTCGATCCTATCAGGCACGTTTCTTCATGGTCACCCTCGTACTCGACAACACCGGATTTAGTGTACATGAGTCATAAGTGTATAGCACATTATGGTGTACATTTATTTACAATTTTTCCTTATATATCAGTTCGTACGCGATTTTTATATTTATTATAATTGTGATTTAAGTTTGTTCCTATCTATACTAATATTATAAAGAGGAAAGATTTGTATTTTTGAAAGTAATGAATTCGTAAAAAGCTTTTAATATAATCTTAAAAAAATATTTAATTGTACGCAAACTAAGTCTCGACCAATAGCTATTCTAAATTCTTGACACTGATAAAATTTTATCAAAGAATTTCTTTGCCATGATATAGAGATTTCATTGTCCCGATTTTTTTCTCCAAACTTATGGCAACCTTATTATTACATAAAGATTCATTACCTGTGTTTTCCAATATTTTATCGATATTCGATAACGCTTTAGGACTTCCGCTTTTAATATTATTTTCATAGTAAAAAAAGATAAAAATTAAAACTTCCCATATCTTATTTCTTAACAATATTATATTCGAAACTTTATACAAATGCAAGTTTGTTGGTATTTGTAGCCTAAACTAATAAAACAGATCTCGATTAAATTTGACATACATAGATATAGAGGATAGTCTGAGTCTCTATAAGAACACGTAGGCTACTCATTTTTGTTTTAATTCCAGGTGGATGGAGTCGCAAGCGCTCACTCACGTGAGCGAGTTGCTTCACTCCCTCAAATAATACGACTTTCATTGCACGGAATTCAATGAAAGCGAATGTAAGTAGCTTAAGTTTTCTTCCAGGCTATGCTCTAAATCTATACCAAATTTCATCAAGATACGTCCAGCAGTTTAGGCTACAAACTCTAACAAACATCCATCTAAACATTCGCGTTTATAATACTAGTATGATTAGTAAGATAATTAAGATATAAAATGGTATTTTGCTAATAAAGTATTTGCATTATAACTAGAAAACATTTTTTTAAATATGGTCTATCTGTCTGTCAGTCACGTTTGTTCCAATTAATCTTCGAAACGTTAGATTGTGACGCGTCTTTATAGCGGGCGCCACCTTTGTCTTAATTATCGCACAACTGTGGTGCGATTGTCGATTGTTTCGCAGCCAATTCAACTGTTTTGGACAACTAAAAATCGGGTAGTGTTACCTCCATATAAGGTCAGGCATCAAAGCCAGACTAAATATTTTTTTTAGATATAAATATTAGTACGTTTTTGATATTTTACTAACATTTCATTTAACCATTCAAACTAAGCTCTAGGCTTGTGCTAGGATATGGTTCACAATACTCAAATGGGATTCGAACCCCCGACCGCAAATTCGGTAGTCCGTACCCCAAACCATTAAGCTATTGGTGAATGGGGATGTTTCCTAATGTTACAAATCCAAATAAAGTTATGTTTAATATTTTAAAGACAGCATTTTATAACCTATAATAACATTTAGAGACCTTGAATGTTTGTCTCAAATTAAATATAAATTAAAAACGCTGCAATATTTTTTACCCTCCATTACTCGATCTCAAACACCAATGACGTCACTTTCTTGCATACAACATGGCAGTGTGACCAACTTCAGTGAATGTCAGTGCATTTTGTAGTTATATTTTTTTCTAAATGATTGTAATAATTGAGTTTGTGTGTTTTATATTATGAGGACTCCATTATTGAGTGTTTTTATAATTACGACATAAGTTATGAGCAAAACATTTTATGAATATTACAAAAGAAAAATATATCAAAATTTTTTTTCGTGTTCATACATGGTTTATCTACAAAATAAAGGCTATTCCAAAAATTAGGAAACATCCCCATTGTGCGATAGTATACTCAAAGATGTGCGCGCCCTCTTAACTCTTAAATGCACGATTTTTTCTTTTTAAATACCATAAATTGGAACTGGCAGTAAATTGAACATAGATTAAGGGTAGAATAAAGAAAAAAAATGTTTTTTTTCTAAATGACCAATTAGGTAAAGAAGTAAAGATTGATGTATAAATACATCACCATGCTTTTAAGGGTTAATACGTAGCTAAAAATACTTTTTCTTTTGTTATTTGTAAACGAAGTCGTACAAACTTAGTAATATAATTATTTATCTATAGATATACAAAAAAAGTACATTGTCATTACGATGAAAAACCTATCTTGAGGTATAATTACACAATATTATTTTATTGATAAAGATTTCACGTCGAAGTTAAATATTGTGAAATACCTTAGCTTGAATTAATTTTTTACATGATTCTATTTATTTTGGCTATATTTATAAAAATACTAGCTTTCGCCCGCGACTCCGTCTGCGCGGAATTAAAAAAAACAAAAGTGAGTAACCTATGTGTTCTTCCAGACTATCCTCTACATGTATGCCAAATTTTATCGAGATTCAGCTGTTTAGGCTACAAACTCTAACAAACATCCATCCATCCATTCATCCATCCATCTAAACTTTCGCATTTATAATATTAGTAAGATTATGTAACAATAACCATACTAAATTATCCTAAAAGAATGGTACGACTGACATTTGTCGGGCATGTCGTCGGCCCGATGAGTCTATTAGACATATCGTTTCCGGTTGTTCTCGCCTTGCGGACGGTGCATACTTGCATAGACATAACCAAGTGGCCAAGATTATCCATCAGCAACTAGCCCTTAAATATGCTCTTGTAGAATCTGAGGTACCATATTACCAATATCAACCTTCACCAGTACTGGAACATCGCCGTATCACGCTCTACTGGGATCGATCTATTTTTACGGACAGGACTATTGCTGCCAACAGGCCTGATGTAGTAATAATAGATCGGTCTGAGAGTTTTGTAATGTTATAGCATTTTTAAGTGTATTTTTACTTCAGAGAGAAATACAAATAGTAACAGAGAACTTCTGTTTTAACTCGTAAACCTGGCCATATAGGGTTTTTCACACTTCTTCGACCTATAAACCTGTTGTCTATAGCCTGGATTTTACTATACATTACTCATTTATTTAATATAAGTATGTATAACCACTTTCAATTAACAACCACCACCACCTATAACCACCTTCTACCTAAAACCACCAGCATCTCGCTGCAATCAAAGCAATCAAATCGTCTTCTAAGCCGTTTCGCGGCTTAAAGATATTGACCATGGTGAATTAAAAAAGTTTAAAATTCTCAAAAGGAACAAATACAAGACTCAAGAAAAGAACGAGTCCGTTAAATGTGGTTCTCGGAAGACTTCTGTAAAATGTCACTGGTAAAAGAATAATGTAATGAGCACTGGTAAAAGAACATACATTCTGCATTTTATTAAAAAGATAACAAACGATAGAAAGATTTATATGGGTCGTTGCATGAAATATCAAAGAATATAAAACATTAACAAACTGCAACTTTGGTTGTTGGGGATGTTATAAATTAAAATGAAAAAACAAAGAGAAAATGGTAGAAGAGTTTAGAATACATTTTAGAACATTAAAAGAAAACTAACAAGCGAAAATATTTGTATTGTGAATCATGTTACAAATTATGCAAAAATATAGTGTTAATACGTAAAATAAGACTATAGATTTATCACTGTGTGAAATAAACAATCTCATGGTGTCTCATGGTCTCACTATAAGAGCGCGCGCACATTTTTTACTAAACTTTCACACACTGTTGTGCGATTGTAGATTGTTTTGTAGCCAATTAAACTGTTTAGTTGTACTACTAAAATTCGTGTAGTGTACGCACCTCCTCATAGGAATCAAAGCAAGACTAAACAGTTATAAGATAGTTTAGTAAGGGGAACGCCGTCGCCGTTTGTAAACGTAGTGAAAGAAAAAATAAAAATTGGTCGTTTGTTATAAAACTATATTTCTAAATTCCTTAATTTACAAATAAATATTACGATCTTTATTTGCGCCAGTTTCTAAACGCGTCTACAGCTTTGAAAACATCATCTGCAAATATCTGAGGCAGTTCAAACGCGAGGAAATGTCCGCCGTCTTCTAAAACTGTGGTCCCCAGAAGGTTGACGAATTTCGTCTTCAGAATGCTGGGAGGTTGGTACATTACTTCGTTTTTCGCTTGGAACGCCCATGTTGGCACCGGTGTTGTAAATCTGAAAAGAAAAATTAACACATTATAATAAAAATCCAATTTACTAAATTACAATCTCTATATAATACTAATTTAATAAAGCGTAAACACACACTTCTTTGTTGCCTAAGATGTCAATTACAGCATATTTTTGAATAATTCTTTTTTTTAATAAAGAGCCCTACACTTACGTTTTAGGCTAAATATTTTCAAGCCATTAAACTTAGGGAATAAATATTTTGGATAAAAGCCCTAATGTGGGAAAGAGAACATAAGTTGCTGCCAACATCAAGGAAGCAAGGTTACTATACTTTGTCATGTCATTTTCACATTTGCAATTGATAATTTGACACATGTAAACAATAAAATAAATTTTTCATAAATTTGCGGATGAAGTCGCACGGGAACAGCTAGTTGTTCTTAAAGCCGAATTGAACGGACTGCTGAAAATAATTCATAGCAGCACTTAACTAAATAGATTTACGATTTTTTAAAATCATGCCGATATGGCAAAGCGACCGTTGCCTATAGACATACGAAACTTCCGATGTCTACCTACGACGAAAGGGCACATAAAGATGATTTCTCCACTTCCTTTGACTACTCGTTTAGAAGTAATTGCCAAGATGAATACTAGTTGACACTTCGTCCCCTTTAGTATACTCACTGATCTAATGCCAGATCTCGATTCTTCTTGCTTAAGTCTTCGGCGTACAGTCTCATGGATGTAGTAATACAGCCAGTAGTCCAGTAGACCATGAGGCAATCGATGAGCTGCTCCCTTGTGAACCGGAACCCAAGGCCACCTTCGACTTTGTTACGGTGTTCACGACGCGTCCACAAGAAGAACTTCTCAAGGATGTACGCCAGAAGACCGGATGGAGAGTCTGTTAGACCAACACCTAGAATACGAAACAAAATTATATTAATCTTACTAATGTTATAAATGCGAAAGTTTAGATGGATAGATGTTTGTTAGAGTTTGTAGCTTAAACGGGTGGAAGGTTCTGGATGAAATTCGGCATAGATCTAGAGGAGTCTGGAGGGACTTTTGGTTAATTTACTTTTTTAAATTCAACGCGGACGGAGTTACAACAGCTAGTGTTAAATAAAATTAAGATAGAAGTTTTCTTACCAATTGTATCAGGTTTAGTTGCCTGCAGATGGAAGTAACCGAACTCTTCTATCATATACGCGAAGAACGAAGACAGAGGATACATGCGGCTTGCTAGATGCTTCTCTACCACCAATGACGGGAAGTACGCTCCCAAAATAGTTTTAAACGTTGATTTTCCATTCTGTAAAAATTTGAACTCTCATAAGTACTGTAGAAAACCTTTTTTGCAAATATAGAAAAAGATGGTATCGGAATAGTAGAAAAGAATCTTATATGACAAGGATACTTTTAGTTAGTAGTGGGGGAACGCCGATAGAGGAAGGCGTAAAAAAAGATGAATCGATTGCATAGCGGGTGCACACCTTTGACTAAACTATCGCAGAACTGTTCCGAGATTGTCGATTGCTTCGCAGCCAGCCCAACTGTTTAGTTGCACAACTAAAATTCGAGTAGTTTGTGCACCACCATAAACTCATAGGAATCAAAGCAAGACCAAACAGATGTGCGATAAATTAGTTCAGGTGTGTGCATACTCTAAAAGACATGATTGAAAAGAAAGTGATGATTGAGATGATGGAAGATAGATTAACCTGGAAGATAGAAATCTGGTGAGCCCTTACGAGTAGGATAATGACGGGGATGACGATATCAATCTTAAGAGCCATTACTTGTTGATTTCGTTTCCATGTTAACTGGCAGCATAAATCAAAAACTTAGTATGAATTCATCTTGATTCAACACCTGTCATGATGTATGGATCTGAATGTTGGGCAGTAAAAGGGACGGATGAAAGGAGAATACATGTGGCAGAAATGCGAATGTTAAGATGGATGTGTGGATAACACGATTGGATAAGATACGAAATGAGTATATTAGAGGAAGTATGAGAGTAGCCCCAGTGGTTGAAAAAATAAGGATTAAAAGGTTAGAGTGGTGTGGGCATGTTATGAGAAGGGATGAATCGCATGTAACAAGAAGGATGTTAGTTATGAATGTGGAGGTACATCGGTAGAGGTAGACCTATTAAGAGAAGGATGGTTTGCGTGAAAGGTGACATGATCAAGAAGAGAGTGATGACTGAGATGACGGATGATAGAGTGCTTTGGAGGACGAAAACCCGGTGCGCCGGCCCTACGGGAGTAGGATAAGGTAGGGGAGATGACGATGAATTCATCTTGATGTTCATGTATATCACGATTTTCGGACCTAATGTGCATCTACATTATTTTTTCATATCATAAAAGGGGGCAAAAGAGCCGCAGGAACGCCTAGGTGTTTAACGACGCCAATGGACATCCGCAACACCAGAGAACAGACGCGTTGCCGGCCTTTGAGTAAATTTTAGGATCGCTTCTTGAAGGACCCTAAGATACTTCAATTATAAAATTTAAACTTATTCAACTTACTTGTGTGTTAGCCATGTTAGTGTGGTAACCGAGGACAACGTCGGGAAACAGTGTGACCATCGCTGTGCCGATAGAGGAGCCCCAATCACCACCTTGGACGTAGAACTTTTCATAGCCAAGTCTGTTCATCAAATTCTTGAAGACTACAGCTATCTGTGGCGTCGCGAGTCCGGGACGAACAGCCGCCTGCCATCAAAAACATAAATTACTTTTTTATCCTCTTCACAATAGTACAAATATATAAAATACTAGCTGTCGCCCGCGACTACGTCCACGTGGAATAGAAAAAAGGAAGAAGGTGTTCTTCCAGTCAATCTGTCCATGCACAATTTTATCGAAATCCGTTAAGCCGTTTACTCTACAAACTAACAAACATCCAAAAAAACTTTCACATCTTACTTCTTACTGATATTATAAATGAAAAAGTTTGAATGAATGTTTGTTAGAGTTTGTAGCCTAAAAGGCTGAACAGGTCTCGATCAAATTTGACATAAATGTAGAGGATAGTCTAGAAAGACACTACTACTTACTTTTTTTTAATTCCACGCGGATGGAGTCACGAGCGAAAGCTAGTTTATAATATTAGTAGCATCAATAAGATGATACAAGAAAGAAAATGCAGAGCTACAACAGAGAGCACATGAAACAGCTTCTGCAATATAAAATTAACTTACATCAGAGAATCCATATCCAGGTAAGCTAGGGGCTATGACTTCGAAAGCAAAGTTGTAGCCTGGAGCTCGTTGTGTGAGCAACGGTATAGCCTCGTAGAACTCCCGCACGGAGCCCGGCCAGCCGTGCATTATTAGCAAAGGTACTATCTCCACATTTGAAGGGACCTGGAATATAATCAAATTTCGGTAATGTAAATAAAATATAGAAAGAATTAACATATTGTTAAACTTTCAGAATATTAACAAAAAGACAATTGAAGAGTGTGTCTGAAGAGTAAATGTGGTAACTACTTCAGGGCGTAGGATGTCAGCTATCACGGCATATTTTTGAATAACACTCTCTTTAATAAAAAGCCCTACACTTACGACACGCTTTAGGCTATGCATTATCACGCTATTAATTATAGGGTGTAAATTAATTGAAAAAAACCTTCATATGGAAAGGGGATTATAAACAAGAAGCTGCCAACATTAAGGTATGAAGATTACCAAGATACGGTAATTGGTGTCCAATGTCAAAGGCCTTCGTTGTCACGTCGAGAATTTGACAAATGTAAACAATAAAATAAAGTTTTTATAATGCCATGCGGATGAAGCCGCACGGGAACAACTAGTATGGAATAAAATAACTGAGTACTGCATTTACCTGTGGTGTAACCCTAATGAAGTGTATATCCAGGCCCTGGATGTTTGTCTTGTAGTGCGGGTATTTGTTAAAGAATGCCTCCCGTTCTTTGAAAGGATACTCCTCAGCCCAGTAGTCCAGCCAGCCGTCTATCGTCTTCGTATTGAAACCATATTCGAAGCCAACGCCCTCTAGCGCCGGAGTGAACTTGCGACGGTTCTTCAGACGATTTTTTAAATCATTTATCATCTGAAAACGAGAAATAATTTTGAGTTATTTCAATACATACAAAAACAAGTGTTTCCTCTTTATGATATTAGTATTTTTTTTATAACATAACATATGCAAACGAGCAAGCGGCCACCTGAATCGGCCAAAATAGAGAAGCGACCGCTGCCCATAGACATCCGCAATTGCAGATGCGTTGCCTACCCTTATTCAACAGAGGAGGAGACGCACATAAAGAGGATATTTCCTCTTCCTATGCTTCTCCTCCACCGTCAAATCCACTTCCTCTTCCCATCCTCTCCTTATAAGAAAAGCATGGTAAAGAGAAAGGGACTTAATTAGGCCTCCGGCACCACACTCATCAGACGAAACACGGAATTGCTTCCATTATTGTATTACACCGGGCATGCCGGCCCATTCATGTTAAGATGTTAAAGCGGGCACTACCACTGTTAAAGTATAAAAAGGCTATTAAAAAAACTTACCTCATCAGTAAATTGTACTTGGAAAGGCCTCACGCTCTTGTCCTCTTTCCCTCTAGCTTCATTAGGCCCCCACCATTCGTCAGGGTCTAACCGAGGGATTTGTGGAGGCTCGGTATTTTGCGATGACCATATTTTGTATATTATAACAAGGACAATTATACCAATTATAATACCCAACATCTGTAAAAAATATTATTTTTATTCAATCGACTCTTAATTAAAGCGTGCACATCTTTGAGTAAACTATCGCACTGTTGTGCGATTGTCAATTGTTTCGCAGCTCAACTGTTTAGTTGCACAACTAAAAATCGAGTAGTGTGCGCACCTTCATATAAGCTCATAGGAATCAAACCGAGACTAAACAGTCGTGCGATAGTTTAGTCAAAGGTGCGCGCGCTATTAAAAAAAATAAATCAATGGGACTTTTATTGCCACCAAAAAAACTATACATACAGCAACCTTAAAGCTAGTAAAACATTATGACAAAAGGTTGTAAATTAAGCTATATTTTAATAGATATTTAAAAAGAAACTAGTACATATAGCATCTAAGTTACTTATAACTAACATTACTTGAAATATTAAAAATATTCGTTACCTTTCCACACAAGTTCTCACTTCCGTAACTCAAATTATTATCAAGCAAATCCTAAATAAACACTTATATATATGTAAGCTAGCAATACAACCAGTCACTGTGAATGTTGAAGATTACTAGACGCATAGATAAGATATACATTGACATGAGGGCTGTAGGGTAACCATGATTGTAGTGTTTGGGTGTACATGCATGGGACCAGTGTTTTTCGTATCCTGCCTCGTCCCCTTTTATGCACTTAGCTGTCACAAAACTAATATCATGCTAGCATGGCAGTTACTGGCATGCAAGATACCGTCCATGCCTGTAGTTGGCACGTGCTAACATGGCAATCAGGTATACCAAATGGTTATGTATTTCTGCCTTAGATTATAACGCATCTTTTTATCTCACTGACAAAGAGAGTACTGGGACTGACACTGGCCATAGTTTTATTTTTTTACATGAATAATAAAGTTTCCGTTCAAAAAACAATTAGTTTTACCAAGAAAATCGGGAAACTCTGGAGCATCGTTGTCTGACAGCTGTCAATGTTATTCAGACGTATTGGAATAGCGCGCCATTCTGACGGGAGTTAGTGGTCTGAGTGTTTAATTTACTTTGTTACCTTTATATTTATGTCCTTTCAGTAATAAATGCGAAAGTTGGATGGATGGATGATTGATAGTAGGTAGCCAAAACTGCTGAACGTATCTCGATGATTGTTATAGATGAAATACTCTGAAATAGTACATAAGTTACTTTCCTGTGTTTTTTATTCTATGCAGAGGTAGTCGCAGGCGAAACTTAGTTTTATATAAGTGAAATACATTTATAAAATTATGGTCACCCTTGTGTTGATATTCAGCGACTATATCAGTATTGATTGCGGACGCAAAATTATGCAAAAAAGTATCAAAGTAAAGTGGTTACGTTATTATTCTTGTTACATACTTTACTTCATTTATTGTTAACTATATGACCAACAATTACTAAATAAGAGGTTCAAACAAATTCGATACATTTTTGACATTTTTCTTACAAAACAAACTTAAGAAAATAATTGTTAGAAGTGGAAACAAAATCTTCAACATGAGATGTTTTGTTTATTTTACCTGTATTGTATTGTACTTGTATACAAAAATTATAGTTATCTAAATTATGTAGATAACATTATCTTTTGACACATTGAACTTTATCCGTTCATTACGCGTTTAATTATTACGACATTTTGTGCAAATACAATAATTACGTTTTTAAGAATGATTAGCATTATTTTTAAATTATATGATAAATCTACACGATGACACGATGACTATTTATTTTTGTAATATATGCTTTGTTGTAAATTACGACAATTTGATAAGTTTTTTTAATTTTCATTTTATAAGCATTTTGATATCATTCTGATATCCGTGTAGATAAAATTTTGCCTCTGTCTTTGTTTTCCCCGATTTAAAAAGAAACTTAATAAGTTATTAAGTGTAAGCCTATATGGTCTAGACTATGTTCATTATCAACTTGCCCTTGTTTATAAGAAGGGTCGGCACAGTATGCTCTTCCATAACAGCCGTCATCTGAATTCTCGTATCTTCTTTCACACAATCCATACATACTTCAGTCTTCGTCTATCTTTGTAACAAAATCCAGATACGTTAAACCCTTCTGGTGATAACTATAAATAAATATCCATCCATCCAAAATTTTGCATTTATATTAGTAAGAAATAAGCCTGCTTACAATCTGACAAATATAAAATTTTAATTGACTTTATTGTTAAAATTTGAACTCATATTTTAAAATTATTTTCAATATTCAGTCGATAGCAATGTACGTGTCTGCTGGGTAGGGAATTTGATTCCTTGTACAATTTTTGTCGCTTGGGTACACATTGTAAGTGTAAATAGCTTTCAATCCGCTAGATGGCGTTATCAGTGCGGCGCAGGCATGCTGGGGATTATATTACGGTTTGAATTTACTAGGGACGATTCGAGAGTTTTTTTCGAGAGAAAGGGACGGATGAAAGGAGAATAAATGTGGCTGAAATGCGAATATTAAGATGGATGTGTGGGGAAACACGATTGGATAAGATACGAAATGAGTATATTAGAGGAAGTTTGAGAGTAGCCCCAGTGGTTGAGAAAATAAGGAGTAAAAGGTTAGAGTGGTATGGGCATGTTATGAGAAGGAAATGAATCGCATGTAATAAGAAGGACGTTAGTTATGAATGTGGAGGTACACCGGTAGAGGTAGACATAGAAAGAGATGGATGGATTGCGTGAATGGTGACATGAAGAAGGGAGTGATGAGATGACGGATGATAGAGTTATTTGGAGGACGAAAAACCGGCGCGCCGACTCTACGGGAGTAGAATAAGACAGGGGAGATTATGATTCGACAATTCTTCCGAAATATCCAAATACCAAAACTCTTGATAATACACGGAATATTATCGATGGATTTACTAATATTATAAATGCGAAAGTTTACGTTGATGTTTTTTAGAGTTTGTAGTTTAAACTGCTGAACAGATCTCCATGAAATTTGTCATAGAAGTAGTAGTCTGGAAGAATACAGGATACTTTTTTTTTATTCTACACGGACAGAATCGCGAGCAAAAGCTAGTTTTAATATATAATTAACGTATTGACAATCTTCTGTATTTCTCTGTACTAATGTTATAAAAAGGAAACATTTGTATTCTCGTATTTTTGTATATATTGAAATAACTCAAAAACTACTGTTCCGATTTTTAAAATCTTTTAACGTTAAAAAGGTAATTTATCCGTGAGTAACATAAGCTATATTTTATAATCACACGTGGGCGAATTAGCAAAAGCTAATATTTTATAAAATCACTTATAAAATTGAGATTCTCTAAAAAGGTGAAATTTCGTTCCCCGTTGTTAAATTAATAACCAGTTGACGCTAATCCCCGATTAGCGTAAGATAAAGAAGTTTCCAGTTTCACAGATTAAAAACTTTATCCGACACCCTTAAAATTGGCTTAATAAACTTTTTTATACCAGGGTGTTATACCCTAATATCAATAAGTCTGTGGGAATAATCTGCGGCACGCGCCGTCATTTGTCAGTGTTAACCGAACTTTGACTTTGATATGAGTACTTATTATCCCCTGGGATTTTTTCAAATATAAAAAAAACTATAAATATATTTTTTATTACCCTACTAGCTGTTCCCGTGCGACTTCATCCGCATAAAATTATAAAAATTTAATTTTGTTGTTCACATTTGTCAAATTATCAATCGCAAATGTCAAAATGACATGACATGACGTCAAACATGGCAACCTTGCTTCCTTGATGTTGGCAACAACTTGTCTCTTTCCCACATTAGGGTTTTCATGCAAAATATTTACCACTAAGTTTAACGACGTGAAAATATATAGCCAAAAGCGTGACGTAAGTGTAGGGCTTTTTATTAAAAAAAGAACTATTCGAAAATATGCTGTGATTGCTGACATCTTAGGCAACAAAGAAGTGTGTGTTTACGTTTTATTATATTAGGAAGTATAAGTATGGACAAATTTGTTTCTAGTTTCAATAAAATTATAATCAAATGCTTATCAAAGTGCAATCAGAATACTTCGCATTATTTACGGATCACGGCGCTGGCCACTTGCAACCCTAATGTTTGCTCAGCCCTAAGGGTGTGAGACGGAATTCATTAGGGGTGGATTACGAAGGGATGCTGGTGGCGATAGCGAATTTGTATCAAATAAAAATATTTACAATTGAATAATTTTTATAGGGGTGATAAAATATCTTTCAGTGCTTGTGTGATTTATTTATTTATGGAGGAGGTATAATTGAGAAATTAAACGTAGTTCGAAGTATGTATGGATGTATGTATGGTGTTAAAGCGTAAGGTAGTGAATTTAGATAAGATGGCTGATAGAGATGTATGGAAAAATGCGGGAAAAAGAGCATTATACTTGTTATATTAATATTATGTAAAACTAGCTTCCGCCCGCGACTCTGTCTGCATGGAATTAAAATAACAAAAGTAAGTAGCGTATATGTTCTTCCAGACTATCCTCTACATCTATACCTAATTTCATCGAAATCCGTTCAGCGTTTAGGCTACAAACTCTAAGAAACATCCATCCATCTAAACATTCGCATTTATAATATTAGTATGAAATATTTGTATGAGATATTATATAATATCTAAGTGGTCGAAATATTTTGATAAAAATCTATTATTTATTGTCATCATCAGGTACATTACATACAAATAAATATTCATTGCTGCTTATGAAAAAATCACAATTTATTAACGGTACAAAAACAGCAATGTAAATGAAATTTTAAAAGCAATGAAAACTGTTGTATAATGATGCGGAACGATAATACCGTTGCCGAGTCATTGACCTTGATATTTAGTTCTTATTGACTTTAGTATACGACTGTCCGAGAGCGCGCGCGTCGCTTCAATGTGAGTTTTATTTAAATTATACATTAATTTGAACAGTTATAATACGTTAATTTTTGAAAAATAATAGGTGAAATCGATTATTAAATAATTATTATACAAAATTTAGTTGTTTTTTACTATTTTCTGTGTAATTTAAACAACTTTTTAAAAATTGTTTAATAGTTATCTTAAAGACACCGATAGATGGCAGCACTTGTTTTAGTTTGTGTTAAATGTTTTTGATTTATTTTCAGATGGCAAGATTCTTACTTTTACTGTTGGCTACAATAGTGGTAATTTTAGTATACTTTTTATATCTAAAAGCCCCCCCACCGTTACCTAAATTAGACGTAAATCAATGGTGGGGGCCAGAGGAGTTAAAAACAATGCAAGATGTCACTGTAAGACCATTCAAAATAGAATTTTCTAATTCGGTACGTATAATTATATACTAATTAAATTAATTTAGTGGCCAGATGTTAAAATTGGCTATTTAATGAAATAGCCAGTTCGAGGAAAGATTTGTATTTTGTATGTATTAGAATAAATCAAAAACTACTGGGTCGATTTCAAAAATTCTTTCACCGTTAAAAAGCTACGTTATCAGTGAGTAATACAAGTTTTATTTTTAATTTTACACGAAGGAAGTTGCGAGCAAAAAAAATTTACTGAATTCCGTAACATAATTGTGTCGAAATGACGTCATCAAGTGGCCAATTTTACTACTGGCCACAATTCAGTAAATTGACTGTATTATTTATCAGATGATAGAAGACTTAAGAATGCGTTTGAAAAGGCACAGACCCTCCCCTCCGCCATTAGAAGGGGTTGGATTCGAATACGGATTTAACAGCGGAGAAACAGAAATGTGGCTCAAATACTGGGGAGAACACTATCCTTTCAAAGAAAGGGAACAATTCCTTAATCAATTCCCGCAATACAAGACTAATATACAAGGACTGGATATACACTTCATTAGGGTGAAACCTGAGGTATGTTAACATTATGATAACTAGATGGCGCTAGTAAAATAAAAATGTAATCTGAATTACGCTGATGCGTAGTCAATAAAAATTAATTCTGATAAATCGATACTAGATGGCGCTAGTAAAGTAATAATGCAACCACACAATAATTATCTATTTTAAGCGAAAGGAAGTTAGGATAAGGGAACATTCGACACATGTTACCTATATTTTGATCTTCGTTATATTTTCCAGGTACCTAAAAGTATAGAAGTAGTTCCAATGTTAATACTGCATGGTTGGCCGGGGTCAGTGCGGGAGTTCTACGAGGCGATACCGCGGCTTACCGCCGTCAGTAAAGAACGAGATTTTGCTATAGAAGTTATAGCTCCCAGCTTAGTTGGTTTCGGATTCTCTGACGTAAGTTATGTTATTTTTTAGTTCAGTGCTAGTGAGTTGCGTAATGCTATCTAACTATAGATAACTAAGAGAAATGGGGTAATTTGATCTAAAGGCATACAATTCTAGTTTCCCAAGAAAATGTAGAATTGGGGAACATCTAAATATTGGACGTGAATTAATACATGCCTTTAAATTTGACGTATTTATATATTTCTAATTTAAGTCTTTGTGAACTGTAAGAAAATTCTTACTTCTAGAAACTTCTATCATACTAATATTATAAATGCGAAAAATTAGATGGATGGATGTTTGTTAGAGTTTGTAGCCTAAACAGCTGAACGAATTTCGATGAAATTTAGTATAGATGTAGAGGATAGTCTGGAAGAACACATATGCTATTCACTTTTCTTTTTTTAATTCCATTCAGATGGAGTCGCGGGCGACAGCTTGTTATTAACAATATAATCCGATTCGAAGTTTATTAATAATGCATTGTCTCAAGGCAGCCGTGCGGCCGGGACTGGGCACCGCACAGATGGCGGTAGTCATGAGGAATCTGATGAAGAGGCTCGGCTTTGATAAGTTCTACATCCAGGGCGGTGACTGGGGATCTGTAGTTGCCGGTCATCTTGCTACATTGTTCCCTGAGGTAAGTGCAGCAAGTTAAACATCCAAGATAGACATCTACCGACCAGTTTACATAAATACTTAAATAAGTATTATGTCCACTTGAATCGAAATAGATAGTGTAATCTCTGCCTACCTGCTCTGTGAAATATTATTCTTATATTTTATTCCTATTTATATTCATAAAGATTTTATTCTTATATTTTATTCTTATTTATATTTAAAGAACTAGCTATTGCTCGCGACTGCGACCGAATTAAATCAAAAAATTACTAGTTATATAGCCTATGTTTTTTTTTAAGTCCACGCGGACGGAGTCGCCAGCGATAGCTAGCATTGAAAATATAT